CATCCATATTCAGTTTGGAAGTCGTATCAAAGTTTAATTTACCTTTTTTGCACACTGTTTCTCTTGATCTCGGTATTTTTCTTTATATCACTCAGGTCTTTTTCTAGTTGTGAAATTCTTTCTTGGTCCTTTGGATTCTTTCTGGGTGTAGGCGTGTCAGACTTTTTTGGAGAAGGGCTTTTCTGTGCCTATCATGTTAAACAACAAATTCAATCAATAACATTCACAAAACTTGCCAAACGTACTTGGAATCACAATAAATTATGACACTGGGTCAATCCAAAACATTAATAAAATAAATAACAAGCTGAGATAGCTCCGCCGTTAGCAATGCACATTACAATTAAAGAACTGAAGATATCATTAGAAAATGAACAATATGTATAGTATCAAAAAAACAGTACTTTCAACGTTTTCAACGAGAATTCAAAAATATCACTTTTCACCAAAAATGACAAAAATATTCATTACAATTAGAGAATTAAAGATATCATTACAAAATGAACAAATCTGAGAGAGGACCACATGTAGTATCTATATATGTAATATCAAAGCAATTGGACTTGCGGTTTTTAACAAAGAGTCGAATATAAAATTAGAGAATTGAAGATATCATCATGAAATGAAGAAATCTAAGAGAGGTCTACCCAAGGTAGACCATATACACCAAGTATCAAAGCATTCAGGCTTGTAGTTTTCAAGAAGAAGTTGAAACAGTAAAACATTGACATGCACGACGGCAATCACTCATATGATAAGCTCCGCTCGACAAAGTCGACAGCGGAGCCAATAAAACAGCTCATTCAAGGCATCCATACAATTTTCAAAGGAAATGTTATCTATGCATTGTCTCCAAGCAGATGCATTCATTTAATGATTCTGGTTTGGTAATATTTACCTAACTATCTTATTTATTTTTTTATTTTTGTTTTTTATTTTTAAAAACATTTTATTGAGTCATCTTATAAGGTTTACAAGTGTAAAGATACATGAAAGTTGGTACTGTAAACATTACAATGGTTTGAATACAAGATTACAATATTCAGTCTTTAGTGGTTTGGTCGGTTATCCATAAGTTTTAATTTCCCCCACTTTTTATTGTGTTTACTCATTTTCCCTTTCCTTTTTGCGGTGTAACATTGAATCATTTCAATCTATTTAACAAATGTCTTAAAGTTGACAAAATTTGGTCTTTTTTGTTGATACCTACATACATAGATAAATCTCTTGGCCAACAGAATCAGAAAATTTAGTAACATAGGACGAAGGCAATCACCTAATTTCATGAATTCAGGGTCTAATGACCCTGGAGCTCCAACATGTTTTCCCCATTCTTCAACGTGAACACAGTGGCAGAACAGGTGAAGAAGAGTTTCATCTGACCCTATACAAAATGTGCATGAGCATGATTCAATTCTTGGGGTGGACATCTTATGGAGTATTGTGTTTGTAACCAGGATATTGTGAGAAATTTTCCACTGAAATTCTCTTAATTTTGAATCAATGGAAAGTTTAAATGGTGACCAGTAAATACTTCCCCATTCATTTATGAATGAATTAAATGCTTTTATAAAGAACATTTCCGATCGTGGGGAAATGAAGTAATGTTTTACAATACCCCGGGTAACTGGTTTAATTTTGCAGATGATATTGCACTCCAATAAACTTTACACCTATCTCAGTATTCTCATCATTGGTCAACATTTTGTTTTCAGCTAGGTGGTATCGCTGCAATTATCCCATACCATTTCAGATAGCAGTGATGGGGCACCCCTCTCGACAAGATCTCCTCCCATTGTAAGACTTGACCATGTTCATTAAAAAGATGTCCAACATACTGAAATCCAGCTTCAAAAAAATAGTTGTTAAAAATACTTTTACCCCCTTAAAGAATATTATAATTATTCCAGATAGCTGGGTTGAGGAAATGCTCCTCATCGTTGCTTTCCCCAACCACAGAAATCCAGGCTTGCATCATTCTAAGATTTAGCCCCTTAGGTAAAAGTTTTATTTTAAAATCGGCTCTCAACGGTGATTTGACTCCACCTATGCTGTGCAATTTCCTATGTAAAATCCATTTCCATGGATGGGTATTGTTGTCGTGGTAACACCTCAGCCAGTTTATACCTTGGGCCTTAACTATAGCAAAAATGTCCGGCATGCCAAGCTCACCTTCTCCTCCTTCCCCAACCACAGTTTTCAGTGCAACCCGATCCTTCCCATTCCACAGAAATTGAAATAACAATTTGTTAATTTCTTTCAGGATTCTATTAGGACAGGCTGTAAGATTTAGTACATATTGGAGCCTAGAAATTCCCATAGATTTAAAAATCTGTACCTTTCCAAGCAGAGTTAGTTTCCAAAATTGCAATGACATTCTGAGTTTCTCCATGGGCTCAGCAAAGTTCCTTTCAGCAGCTAGTTTTTTATCATGGGAGAAATAAATTCCTACAATTTTAATAATATTCAACCATTTTACTTTCAGAAGTTTGTCTTTACATTTTTCCATGCTTCCCAGCCACATCGCTTCACACTTCTCTTTGTTAACTGCAAGACCCAAAATTTTTTCAAAATCTTTCAATATTTGGAAAAGTCTCCTACAGGAGGGGAGGTCAGTCAAGAAACATGCGAGGTCGTCTGCAAAAGAAGCGCTTTTAACAGTTTCAAAACCCGGTTCTGGGATTCCCTTAATTTCTTGTTTATTGAGCATAAACTTATTTCTATGGTAAGAATGAACAACATTGGGGATATTGGATCTCCCTGTCTGACCCCTCGTCCTAGAGCGAAATATCCAGTACCCTTGTTGGACGTGATAATGTAATAAATTCCCGATAATGTATCATTAACCGATAGTGTAACACGAATTAACCGATATTGTAATAAAAGCCGATAATGTAACACGAATTAACCAATATTGTAATAAAAACCGATAATGTAACAACACACAACCAATAGTGTAACAAAAAAAGCAACTGATAATGTAATAGATTATTTTTCCAACTGATAACGCAACAAGATGATTACCGATAGTGTAATAATATGTATTTGCATTGAAATTGTTTGCAATTTCTAGAACGATATGGAATTTACTGTATTTTATATCATACCATCAAACACAAATTATTTTGATTGTTTTTAGCTGCAATTTAATTATGAAGATTACTGAATGGGACACGTCCAGCTTGCTGATATTGATTGCATATCTTCATGTTAAAAGATTGTTTTCAGGGTTGCCATGAAGACATTAAGAATTATGTGGCCTCCCAAAAAAATATGGATGATCATTTTGAGAGGGTGTAAAATGTGTTTTGTGAAACGACAAAATATTATGTGTTAATTATGTAGTCTTACTATAGTCTATACTATAGTCTTCATCATCCCACATCGGTGTACATGTGGGAACAGGCAGTGATATAACTGGAATATTTGCACTTAAAAAAATAAATAAAATTGACTTCATATCGATATCATCAAGATCATGTTTGATAATATCTTGTCCTCATTGTCCTAGTAAGGTGGTATATAACAGTATCATCTGTAAATATTGCACATACAAATTGAAACACATCTCGAACCGTGCATCGGAGTAGTCATCACACATTCCTATCGAGCAATGTACACAACACCACCACTCTTTTCATAAACCCAACAAACTGTTTTGTGTCATGTGAACGATATGTAAAATACCCTTGACGGAATTGGTGATCTATGACCAATGTCTATGGTATGCATGCATAATAGTGTGTAGAGTATATAGCTGACAATTACTTTGCTCAAATTAACCAACTAAAATTTTCAAATTTATTTGTTCATACATGTGGAACAATATATTTGAGTACAAGTTTTGGTTACATAATAACCTCGTTTTGGAAATCAGCCAAGTATCTGCTTGTACAATAAACTATCTTTCAACATTAGTTAAAATCATAGTGCCAGTGACGTACCACCCAAACAAAGATCAGTTCCAAATGGCATCAACTCTGAGCCCGTTTTGAGTTTTTGTGATGAAAGTAACAATCGGGTGAAATATGTGTATTTTTTGATAATCATAAAGAAAAAAAGTATATTTATAGAAATGTTTAATTATATGTTGAAACGATTAGAAAACTGTTCTCCCATGTTTTTTTTTAATTTAATTTAGGGTTCCAATTATTTAGATTTGTCAATCTTATAATATTGACACAGGAAGTCAATATTGTGGCATGCCAATCTAAAATGCATACATTGTTTATAATATGAATGGCCTTGCTCGCCCCTAAATCTGTTCCTGCCTCGCGGCACAGGGGAATATGACTTGGTGGGCTTGCCCGTCTCATTAACAATAAATATAACAACGACAACTTTCGCAAGTTGCCATCTGTAATACAAAAATGGGTTAATATACAATTTTCAAAAAACAGAAGTAATCCGAGTTATATTATTCTTATTTTCTTAACTGAATCAGTGATGTACATGTAATTGCAGACCAACTCAACAATATTGGTATTTTATGATCTCCACAGACACTGCAACAGGAAATTGTGGATGATCTCAGAGCTCGACCATATATTGCCAATGGAACATCACTTGCTAATTTTTGGGGTATGAACAATTTGGACGCATACCTACAATCAATGTCTCAAACTGGAACACATGGTGATCATATCACTGTATCACGAGTTTCCCAGATGTTTAATGTGCAATTCATAATATTTTTGTCAATTGGACCTGGAGGAACAAGACTTATTTCACTGTATTGAACATATGATAATAATATTCCAACTGTATGGATGGCACATGATTCAGAGAATCAAGGTGAACACTACTACAGCATTCAAGGAAATGTTATAGGTCAAAGTCAGTTTTTAATACATCAAATCAAATACCAATCAGACCTAAGAACTTTAACAACAATGAGCAATTGGAAGTGAATGACACGGAAGTAGGCACTGATGAACAAGACGGCGACGTCACTGGGAAACTAAATATTTATGCTGTGGAAGTAGGCATCGATATAGAAAATGGTTATAGCATGAATGTATTTGCTGAAAAACATGATGGTGGAAATATATACGTAAACGTTGAGAAACAGAGTCACGAACCAGAGGTACGTGCCGGAAAACAGGCATATGACGAACCAGAAGTAGATATTAGGTATCAGTAGTCAAAATGAGACAACAATATCAGTTCAGAAACTAATAAAAAAAGG